AATGGGATGATAGCAAGAAAGAAAAGATACAGGATTCACCTCTTATTTTTACAAAGAAAAGAAGGTTCTAGGCAAGATAAAGAATTAAAGAACTCTGTAAAACGCGCTGACAGAATAGAACTTATAAAAGGGATCAGGCGAAAAGAGAAGAAATCAATTGAAAGAAGAGCAAGGCGTCCCCATAAGAAAAACCACATAGAAAACAAAATAGAACTGGCAAAACAAAAAAGGCGGAATCTGGAAATGAAATACCTCGAGTATAAAGGGGCAAGACATTTATTTGTGATTATCAAAAAGAAGGTGCCCCAGAAGACAACGCTGCAGTATGTACCTGGTGGCAAAATAACCTCTTCTGCCTGTTTAAATTATGGAATGCTCAATGGTTTCTGTGTTGGAAGTTTAAGTACCGGGTAGTGTAACTGTTTGCATGTCTAAACATAGTTAGCAAAGTTCTGTATCTCTGTAAATTAAACGGAATAGTTAGGGAGTACTTAGTTGTCTCAATGTAAGAAGTTAAAAGTAAAAATATACAGACAATGAAAGAGGGAATGTGGCAGCGTATTTATAATTTTGTTCCTGTATGAATTTAACGGTTTTTGTGTTGGAAGTTCAAGTACCGGGTAGTCGAGCTGTTCGCATGTTTAAACGTAGTTAGCAAAATTCTGTATATTCTGTAAATTAAACGGAATATCTGTAAAACGCGCTGAGAGAATAGAACTTATAAAAGGGACCAGGCAAAAAGAGAAGAAATCAATTGAAAGAAGAGCAAGGCGTCCCCATAAGAAAAACCACAAAGAAAACAAAATAGAACTGGCAAAACAGAAAAGGCGGAACCTGAAAATGAAATACCTCGAGTATAAAGGGGCAAGACATTTATTTGTGATTATCAAAAAGAAGGTGCCCCAGAAGACAACGCTGCAGTATGTACCTGGTGGCAAAATAACCTCTTCTGCCTGTTTAAATTATGGAATGCTCAATGGTTTCTGTGTTGGAAGTTTAAGTACCGGGTAGTGTAACTGTTTGCATGTCTAAACATAGTTAGCAAAGTTCTGTATCTCTGTAAATTAAACGGAATAGTTAGGGAGTACTTAGTTGTCTCAATGTAAGAAGTTAAAAGTAAAAATATACAGACAATGAAAGAGCTTAGGAAAAATATAGGTTGAATTATGGTTAGAGAGATAAATATGATAGGAGAACACATCATTAGGTTACTTCTGTTTGCCAAAACTCTTTGTTGTAAGAAGCGACGGCATTTTTTGTTTGTTCTGAAAACCAATAAAAAGATTGTTAAAAAAAAAGAAAAGAAAAAGGATGGAGGTGTGCTGTGAAAACAACATTGTTCATTCCTACGTGAGTTAAAGTGGGTTTCGGCACAGAAATGGAGGCCTAGTGCAGAGGACAAGTAGACTTTATAGTTATGGAACAATAGTAGGAATAAAATAGCAGAAAGTATAGAACAGAGTATGAAAATTGAGTTTTTATTTTGATGAGACTATAGAGTATATAAAATGTACAGATAATTACTGAATTTAACTGGGAAAAGTAGGCTATCATTACTGCTTAGGTTGTTTTAAAAACTTTGGGAAATCTATGCTGAGTAAATAGATGAAAGAGCAGAAGGCTGTCTGTGTTGATCTTGAATTAAAGAGAAGAAAGTCTGGTATTGCAAGTAGGAGAATACTTATATTGGGGTTGGTAGACAGTCTGGTTCATGAATTAGCAAAAAATTTCGCTGTTTGTTTAAATGTTTTAAATGCTTGTTTCCTTACCAATAAAAAAAGAAAGAAAAAATGAATTAGGAAAAATATAGGTTGAATTATGGTTAAAGAGAGATATATGATATGAGAACACATCATTAGGCTACTTCTGTTCGCTGAAATTCTTTGTTGTAAGAAGTAACGGTATTTTTTGTTTGTTTGTTTGTTCTGAAAACCAATAAAAAGATTGTTAAAAAAATATTCTTAAGGCAATTTCAACATTTGGAAAGGCACTCTCTAGTTTGACTTCTGTAACTGTGTTGTTAAGTTCCATGTGAGTGAAAGTTGTTTTCTTGGTTGTTTTAAACTTATCATCATCATCAAGTTTATTGTATTAGCCATTGGCCATAACAAAGCATAAATACAAACACAATCCTTATACAAATTATGGTTAGAGAGATAAATATGATAGGAGAACACATCATTAGGTTACTTCTGTTCGCTGAAACTCTTTGTTGTAAGTAGTGATGGTATTTTTTGTTTGTTTGTTATGAAAACCAATAAAAAGATTGTTAAAAAAAGAAAAAAAAAGAAAAAGAAGGATGGAGGTGTGATGTGAAAACAACATCGTTCATTCCTACGGATGCTTCGTGAGTTATAGTGAGTTTAGGCACAGAAATGGGGGCCTAGTGCAGAGGACAAGTAGACTTTATTTCTGTCATGGCATTTGTAATAAACAGGAGTCTAGTGACACCTTAAAGACTACAGCATTTTATTTTAGCATAAGCTTTTGTGGACTGCAGCCCACTTCTGCAGATACAGTGAGTGGCTCCTCACTGTGCAGTGATTGCATTGGAAGAAGCGGGCTCTAGTCCCTGAAATCTTAGGATAAAACACTACTAGTTCTTAAAGTGCCACAAGATCGTTTTTTGCCACAACAGGCTAAATGGGTATAGCACTGGAATTATGATAGAAATAGTATACAAACAGCCCCAGAAACAAAGCTCTTTGAAACTGAATTCATGAATGCGAGTTCAGCACCAGGTGAGGAAGTCAAGGCATGTACATTATCCTTCCCAGTTTTGGGGTAAACATCCTATCTTTAACCTTAACAGCTTTAAACAACAAAACCAGTAGACAGTAGAAAGCCAATAGGAGGCTGGGGGCTAATCCAGTGGTTTGCAGAGAGTGCCACATGTATTGTTATCTGACCACAGGACTGAGTTTGTGGGTGTGAGCTCAGTGCATGGCACTCTTAGCTCTCAGGGACCAGGTTTGTTCCCTCAAGGTCTGCTCACCTGGAGAAGTTGTGTGCGAGAGGTATTTGGACAAGACCTTCAGGTACCTGCTGTTTTGCTCCAATGCCAACAGCTTCTCTGATGCTGTAGAGACTGAGGTAGAAGGGCATCAGGCTGAGGAGGGGGAAATGATTCCTTAGAAGGGGCTCTTTCCTCATATGATGAACAGGTATCCTTGGATACTGAGGATACCCTCTAGGGCTGGAGAAAGGCGGGAGACTCCATCACGTAGCAGAAAGGGAGGTGCTCAAGTATGTGCTCTGATACAGGCACTGAAAAGCAACTCTAAGTAGCACTAGCAACTAGGAAATTATTCATTTATTTATGTTATTTATAACCGATCTTTCTTACAGGGACTCAAGGTGGATTACTGAGGGCGAGTCAAGACAATAAAACAGATAGGAATAAGGTGGAATTTAAGCTTTGAGGACTGGAGCCCACGTTCTGAAGGCAGCATCCCAAGTGGTTGATTACCTCTGAGATCTCTTTCCTGCCTGTCTTGCATTCCTTTTCATCTTGAAAACTGGTCACATGGATGTGGTAACTGGCTGGGTCCATTGCTGGGTTAAAGCTCACCATAACAGAATCATCACCTAGCCTTGTTCCTTCAATGTTTGGCTCCCACAGGCTACCTGTATGAACAAAAGCATTAGAAAGTTCTGAATATCAAAAATGAATTTAATTAGAACATTTTACTTTTGGTTGTTAGGTCACGAAAGGCCTACAAAAATTAAAACAATATAATGATAGAACAAAACAAATAATTTAAACCCTAGCACAAAATCTACTGAATAAAAAAAATATCTCCGCAAATCAGCACTGTGGGGTTGCAAACAGGACAAAAAAAGAGGGGTGAGATAAATCGCAAGAAACATTAATTAAAACTGTGACCAGGAGCACCTTAGTGGGTTGCCATGTCATTTTCTACACATCAGGCTGTAAATATGAACATCACTTGATGAAACACTACCTATTTGCAGACATGGTGCCGTCATTTTCATGGCAGGATCCATGCAACCTGCAACAAAAAGTGACTTATTAGAATAGTTGCATTCATGTGCGGAAAGATAAGGGAGAATAAGTAGTAATACCTAGCAAGAACAGATTAGCCAAGGATTGCCAACACATTAAGGAAGGATCACCTAAAGGGTCTGATGGAAGTAGGGGGCCTCTAAGATACCTCTGAGGACCAAATCAGCAACAGCTAGAACTGAAGCTTGGCTTGGGAATAAAACTGCGGTTTTTCTACTAAAGGACAACTAGAGTGAGTGAGCTAGAGGTTACTCAGGTCTGGCTCCGTCCCCTTATGCAAAAAATTTATATGAAGGATTTTAATGAAAGGGAGCTAATGGGTCATTTCTTTAAACAGAAGAAATGAGCAGCGGATCAGTCAACAATGGCCAATTTACATACCAACTGAATAAGAACACTGCAAGATTTGCTCCTCCCCCCCTTTAATAGATTAGACACTCTATTTGACCTTCCCCCCCTTTAATAGATTAGACACTCTATTTGACCTAAACTATTAAATAACATGAGTTTACAATGTCTGAATAGCAGGCCATTGCGGAGGAACATTTCTAAGGCACAGATCATCCAGAAAAAAGTGCTCCTCCAGATTAATTTCTAGATGACTGTTAAAACCCTTTAGCTTAGCAAAAAGCTACTATAGTTCTAAAAGATCACTTGAAACAGGTTCTATTGGTTTGGGACTGAGATGTGGCCACTGGCATCTAGGGTCCCGCAACGGTAAGGAAAAAGAGACTCTGGACTCATGTGGTTTCCTTTCCTTGACAACACCAGACTTCACAGAATCCTTCCAATGCAATTAATGGCTAGTATCAAAGATGCATAGGATTAGGAAGGGAGAACAGGTGGTGGATGGGGGGGGTTATCTATGAATAAGAATTAGTTGGCAGGAAGTTGCCAGTGGGCAATTATGCTGAGGGACTGGATCTGTAAAGCCCTCACATATAAGGTACGAGAAGAGGTCACAGACAGTGACTCACTGTACTGCTGAAATGGTACTGCATGAGGCCAGATCAATTTAGGGAAAAAGCCAAGCCTGCATTTAGACACCGCAGCTTTTATTGTTTTTATGCTCCAATGGTTTTTATTGTTGGTTATTTCATTCTCTGCTGGAATTTTATGCTGTGTAATGCCATTAATTTATTGTTACAGACTCCATCAAGGACTATGTTTATGAATGCAGGAGATAAAATTAAAAAACAACAAATAACAAAGAGTGAAAATTACTCAGGTGACTTACCAAATCCTTACCAAATTTTTAGTGTTCCAAAACTGAATTCATTTTTTCAGCTATGAACACTTTAACTCTTCAACTTCTTGAATATTGTAACATTATTTATTTATTTATATTTGAATTTAAATCCCACCCTACCCCGAAGGTATTCTTATTCTTCCCATTCCATACTCATCACTTTCCGTATTTGAGAAGTACCTTCCCATCCTACAAGTTACTTCTCCAGGCCCATCCTTCTTAGGCTTCCTTCATATTTACCTCTGGGCATGATTTATCTTAACACTTTTTGTGTTAAGCTGTAGGTGCTACACAAGTAATAGAATACTGGTATCTTTATCCAGGAACATCTGGGTCTAAAACCTATTCTATAGAGTATAAGATTGTAAAATAAGCCCACATCAACAAATGTCATTACCATCACTACAAGAAGGTTTCTTACCTGGTACTGTATATGACCAGTTTATGCAATTTTGGTCTCCACTAGTGCTTAATTTGGGCAGGTGATGGACAGTCACTTGGTATCTCTGACCTGGCTGCACCACAAAGTGGTTGAAGGAGAAATTCCACTGAGAGAAACAAACATACATAAGATTGGAGCTAGCAAACCTTTTCACTCTATCTCACCCTGTTTCTCTCCTTCTTACAGCCCCTGTGCACATGGCATTTGTACATGCAGGACCCATGATTGCTAGCAGAGCCCCAGTGGTCAAATGCCCCCCCCCCTTTCCTTTTTTCTCCATTAGCAGAAAAGCTGGTTGGATCAAGTCCACAAAAAAGAGGCTATTTCAAATACACTTATACACATCAGTGCACTGTTGATTTCCTACTACACTAGGACCATGACTGCAAAACAAATTCACAAAGATGATGGGGGAAGAGGCAGTTACTGAGCAGCCATGTACAAGGATTCATCTTTTTAGATCCACTTGGTCTGAAAGTGATTTCTCCCTCTCCCGTTCCTTTCTCCCCATGTATGGCAGAGCTTCCTCCATTGTACATAACCTAGCTCCCACACACTTCTCCTCTAAATGACTCCTGCAAATACATCTCTTCTACAGTTTTTAGCAAACATGAGTCTGTCACTGAATCTCAATTGTCTGCTTGCCTTGCAAGTATTTTTTTAAAAGGCTGCCACTGACCTAATGCTCTGTTTTCCTGGATAGTTCTCTTCCCTTCCTACTTCTGTAAACGCACTGCCAACAGAGATAAGAAGGGTAATGGTGGGGAAAGAGATGCAAGAAGGAGAAAGAAAATAAGAGTCCTGCAGCCTTTTCTGATTAAATGACTTGTGCAGTTTTCTGTATGTTTTTGATATCGTAAATACAGGTCTTAGCTTTTTGATTTTCTAAAAAGCAAATACTGGAAGAAGGCGGCAAAGTAATAAATGTAACATTTTCTGTTCTCACTTACCCGACGTCCATTGTCTGGTCTGACCTGGTGAGAAAGGTTGGTCTGAAAATCGAACTGAGCACAGACCTGCCGGTTAGTGCTCACCTCCAGCACGTTTAATTCTGCTCCTCGGAGGAGTAGAATACTTCCTGGTTGTAGAAGGGAGGCAGAAAAAATAGAAAGGAGGGAATTTTCAGAGGACAAATTTATTTTCTCCTTATCTGTATGGAGGGAAAAAAGGATTCATACTGCAGCCTCAGCTCATGGCTGAGTTTCTCAAGTGTGATGGCTTTAAACTGCAGAACACTTCTCCCTCCCTATGAAACACTTTGCTTTTACACTATGAAAAGATGCATGCTTAGCTTGTTAGGAATCAATTTATTCCATGCCTTGGTATAGGTATCACACAACCAGGCTGTCCACAAATCCATCTCACTGGCAGTTCCTGTTACTAATACTGTGCCAGTGAATAGTGCTATTTGGACAGCAGACACTCAGCACAACTCTTCCTAACCCAAATTTGACCTGCTCGAATCTTAGCAACATGGCAGACTAAAACAGACACCCTGGATAGCACCACAGGAACTAGGATCTGTTTCGGTTTGCTGTTGTTTTGGTTCTGCTAGCCATCTGTTAAGCAGCGAGGACTGCAAGGCTCTTAGCAAAAGGAACCAAAAGAGACATCTAGAGAGAAGGCGGAAGAATTGAAAAATCTGGCCCATCACAGAAAATGTCTGCCACCCATTTACTCATGTCCCTGCCAGACTGAAGCTGTCCCGTATGAACAAGACATGAACATATACTGTACTTAGCAGCTAAATTATGGAAACTCTATTGCTTCTAGCGTGAAGATATTTGGTCAACGTATATAGCTTGCTGTGGATCAGAGAGGATGTTTTGCTTGCAGAAAGTCAAGACCAGGGGGTGGTGGTGGTGGAGTTAGATAAGGCTGTTCTTTAGCAATAATGTGGCAAGCCAAATTCATAATTAGGAACTTGGCATGTTAAGGGGGAAGGGCTGAGACACTACCAAACTGCAGTGTTATGGCAGATGCTACATGGGAACCATGATCTACCAAGAAAAAGAAGAGATTGGATTTATACCCCGCCCTTCACTACCCAAAGGAGTCTCAGAGCGGCTTACAAACTCCTTTCCCTTCCCCTCCCCACAACAGACACCCTGTGAGGTAGGTGGGGCTGAGAGAGCTCTGACAGAAACTGCTCTTTTTCAAGGACAGCTCTGACTGAACTATGGCTTGCCCAAGGTCATCCAGCAGGTGCAAGAGGAGGAGTGGGGAATCAAACCCGGTTCTCCCAGATTAGAGTCCGCGCACTTAACCACTACACCAAACTAGCTCTCTAGAAGACACACTATTATTTATTTATTATTATTTTATCTATTTAATTTATACCCCGCCCTCCCCGCTGAAGGTGGACTCAGGGCAGCTTACAGACATCTTATAAAATACAATTAAAACCAATCAAAAGCATAAATACCAATTATTAAAAATATCGTTAAAACAGTTAAATATACTAAAAATGCTGGAACATTATTAAGAGAACAGGAACAAAATTATTTATCATATGCCTTAGGTGACCATATAATTCCCATACACACCAGCTCAGTCTAATCACTTTGTTGTGCAGCGGGTACAGACTAAGGCCAGAATGCAGACTGCAAAGGTGGTAGATCCAGGGCCCAGGGACACTCCATGGTGCATGATGTGGCTCCTTAGTCAAATGCCTGGTGGAAGAGCTCTGTCTTGCAGGCTCTGTGGAACTGTAAAAGGGGGAGCTCATTCCACCAGGATGGAGCCACCACTGAGAAGGCCCTGGCTATTGCCAGCCTGGCATCTTTGGGGCCTGGAAGGGCCAACCAATTTTGCACCCCTGAATGCAGTGCTCTCCGGGGAACATGTGGGGAAAGGCAGTCCCTCAGGTACACTAGTAAAGAAGGCACTAAACTCTGCTCATCTTTGAATTCCATCCTGAACACCCGGTATTACATTTTATCACAGCTACCCTCTAAGGAGCATGGGGTGGCATACACCTCTCTTCATTTTGTCATCACAGCAACCCCTTGAATAAGGCTGTAGTGAGAGAGTAATTGGCTCAAGGTCACACACATAGTAGAGCAAGGACTTGAACCTGGGCCTCTCTGGTCTTATATCACACACTGGATCTCTTCATGCAACGAAAATGGTTCCCGAAGCATCCAAAAATGGAAATGGCCTGAACAAGGCTTTGACGGCCAAGAATACCTCCTGGTTTTGGTAACTATGCAGACACCTAGTTTTCTTATCGATAAATTACAAATTAACTATTCTTAGACTTGCAGTTAGATACATCTGTTTTTGACCAAAAGTGTGACACAGAGGGATAATATCTTTTTTGTTTTGAGGAATGGTCACCAGTATTTTGAGGTACCACTTAAGTAGGGACAACAGCTCCTTTAAATACCAGGCCTCCAAGCTGTATATTAAACTGTTCTTACTTACCATCAGTTGCCACCTTCCACTGTATATTCAGCACAGGAAGCAGTTCTCCCCCTTCACCAGGGAGAACATCTGCATGGACCTCAAGAGATCTTGGAGCTGAGGGAGTCCATTCTGAAACCTTAAGCCAGGACTTATCCAAGCAAGTACCTACCAATTAAACCAAGCTTTAACATAAATGAAGTCCCATTTCTAAGAGGACAACTGAAACACCTGAGGATCAGAACTGACTGCTAACCCCCCCCCCCAATGTGGTACAGCACAGGAAGCTACCTAAAAAACTCCTTCCAAGTAAAACACGAATATAGTAAGGAAAAGACTGGGTTAAAATATCTTACTGATACACTGTTTTCAACATGAAGTGACTGTGTATTTGTGTAAAACAGAGCATTAAAAAATGGCATTTTGCTCTTGCAGTTTGAAAAGGTTCCGTGCATCCACAGAGATGCAGGTCCAGGGGGAAAAACAGAAAGTTTTGGAACAAAAACTGGTTTTCCTCTATTCTGCCCCCCCCCCCCCCCCGGGCTTCCCCCTTATTTTCCCAATGGGAAAAATTGAAAGTTCGGGGGTGCCCAAGATAGAAATGCTTGTGTTAAATATTTTCTTTTTTGGCATGAGTGAAATGATTTTAAAGACAAGTTTTATTTACTCAGGATGTGTAAGAATCTACAGCAGGGGGTCCCCTAACCTTTTGGAGCCTGCAGGCACCTCTGAAATTCTGACACAGTGTGGTGGGCACAGTGACAAAATGGTTGCCACAGGAAGGTGGAGCCAGCCACAAAATGGCTACTGCAGCTTACCTTCTGTCACATATTGAAGACCTGTGAAGACCCTTGTGGTCTGGTGGCAGCTGCTTCCAAAGCAATATTTTAAAAATGCTACTAATCAAATCACTAATGGCCAGTCTCAGAAGTCTTGGTAGGCAAAAGCCCCACCTGGCTGCACCCACTTTCTAAAAACACTAGGTGGGTGCCAAGAAACACCATGTTGGGGACACCTTATCTACAGCATTATAAAATAATTTCTGTGCTATACTTTAGATATATTTTGAAGGATATGATTCATCTGGCCACGATTAATACGCTGTAATGTGTAAAATCCACTATTAAAGAGATTAATGTTTTCAGTGTTATTAAATTTAACTCAGGTATGCTGCTAAACTTATTACAGTGGTTTCTCTGCAATTCACTTCTGTTTACTACAGAACGTGTACTTCCAATATTCAGCTTTTCTCTTTTCTTCCTTCTCACCAGCAAAAACTAACATACATGTGGCCAGGGTAGCACTGGAGGCAGTAGTTAGTTCCTGGTCATTAGTACTACATACATTTGCAATTTTGCTTGTAGAGAACTACAACATGTAGACTTTTACATTAAAGAAATATGCCAAAAGTAAAGTACTTTTGTATATACGTCTTAAATTAGAAGCAGCGCATGCAGTAAAAAGTTCAGGCTTCATAACAAAGAGTGGTATTTCAATTCTTCTCGATTTAAAAGAAAAGAGAAGCAAAACTCAAAATGTCTAGAAGTTTTACATCACTATACATAGCAGGACTACTTCACTTCGGTGCATGTGCGGACAGTGGTGAAAGGAAAACCAGTAGAAAATTTCCTCTGATCCATCAAAACTAGTGCCTGGTAATTGTCACCATGAAGAGAAGCTATGGTCATACTGCATCATGAGTGAAACTGCATTGTACTGCACTCTCCAATAAGAAAGCCTACTATAGGAACAAACAGGCTGCTTAATACACCCCTTCCTGACACATCCACGCCAAACAGAGAATGAAATTTACTAGCTTTTTAAGCCCACCATATTCCTAAAATTCTGAACAATCAAGAATACTTTAAAACAACCCTTATCTTCTGTCCTACAATTCTTACGCCATCGCCTGCCTCACATGCCTATTGTTATTACTGGCCTTAGATATGAAAGCTCCATGTCAAAGTAGTTAGGCTGACAGTCTAAAGGCTTAGCATAAATCTCTTGCTCTAAAATAAATGAGATAAAAGCAATTTTTTTTTAAAAAAAATGATACTTACTGTTTCTCACAATGCAGTGTAGACCCTGCAGGAAAGAGAACAACCATGTCATTGAGTGGACCAATGCTTACTCACACCTGAAACAGCTACATTGAGACAGCACAATGTAATTAACAAGCTACAGTAAGCCCATCAGGAGAGGGAATCTCTGAAGTCCTCTGGCTTGATCATACCCTGGAATGTGGATCCAGTAACAAAGGTCTGGTTGCCATGTTCTAATTAAATGAAACAAGATGTCGTTTGTCCTCTTGGCTTACAAAGCAGGATTAAACTGTGTTTTAGAATCCTGGCTTTCAGGCAAGAGAACAACCCAACTGCAGTTTCTTGGAAACTGGGAAACTTTCAATATCTGAGCCACATGCAAAGGGGAAGGGGAGAAGGCATGCTAACTCAAGGATTTCACAAGACAAAGCATTGATCTTTGTACTGGCTTAGCAACCCTTTCTTCCTCCACAGTTGCTAGAAGGATCTCTGCACAGGAGGCAGATATATACGGAGTGCTGAACCAGGAAGTAACTTTATTGTCCTATTCAAGATTCAGAAAATAAAGGGAGGAAAACAAAAGTACAAGACAGTAAATACTTGCAATAAAACCAAAGTAATTTGTATATGGGTATAAACAAATCCAAGGGTGAAACTGTGCTACTGTCTAGTTAACTGTATGTCTAATTCTAAGTGACTGCAGACTATGTTCATTTTACATGGTTAGTCCAGAGCAAAACCAGCCCAAGAGACAGGTGAAGGGTTGGTGAAAGGTTGCCCACAAATGGGACCAGAAGTTGTAGTGAAATAAATGAGGAAGGAAGGCACTCCTGGTAGGTAGGAAGGAAACCCTAACCAGGGTACAATGGGGAAGGACTGGCTGGCAGAAGGGCAGACCAGTCTGGAATGGAAGATGGATAAGCTAATAGATAATATAACACTTAAAAAGATGTGGAAGGGTTAAGACTGGGAAGGAAAGCAAACTGAGAAAGAAGAAAGCACACTCTGCTTGTTTTGAAGAGGAATGGTCCAGTGATTTAATGCTCATGGTGGAAGAAGGCTCTGGAGGTGAAGCAACCACAAAAAGGGTGACCTGGAATGCCCTTCTTACCTGGATTTACCTGTGTGCCATTGAAGAAGTGTGATACCAGCCCAACTTGGGGGAGAATTAGAATCTGCATTGGGGCAAAGCCTCAGAACTTCGTTGCTCAACGGAGGCTTCTGGGTTGCTTTCTGACTGATGAAATTTTAGGATTCGGGCTCCTCATTGGTTTGAGTCCAGGATCCTGTCTGTGATATGATAGTTCGATCCAATCCAAGGGAGAAACCTTCAGCCTAAGTAATGGGCTGGAATGGATATCCTAGATGGTCCTTATGGTTGATGATTTAATTAGAATGGGTGCAATCTTGACTTAGATCTGCTGACAACAGTCAGGATTTGGTAGATTCTAGGCCCACCTCCTGCTCACTACTAACTTCAGTCATCATCTGTATGAGACTCTCACTGGGATTGGAGACCTAGGTTTCCTCTCTCATTACCAGTGCTGATTTCGCCACACCTACTACCTCTCTGTATATCACACCTAATGCAATCACATCTGCTATTGTCATTTGGCATCTGAAATCACTCCACTTTCCAATATATAGGACAGATGGACTCACATCCTAGCTGAATCTGAAAAAGTAAGCAGAGACTCACAAAAGCTCATACCTTATCACAAATGATGTTAGCCTTTAAGGTGCTACTGGACTTACTCTTTTCTACTGGGAGAATGTTAAGAGTCATATCTGCAGTTGTGCTCTAAGAAGCAGGAAGAGCAAGCTTCTGGAGATTAACACTCTCCCTGATCCCTGTTAGTGTGATGAACTGTGCAGACTGCACAATGGGAAGAAGAGATTGAGGTCAAGGGCTGCTTGGTTGTGCAGCAGTGGGCCCCGGCAATTAGCATCATGAATACAGTGGGAAGCTGATAAGTAAAATCAGTGGAGTCAGGCAGGGGCAGCTAGTTCAGCATGAGCTGCCAGGCATGATGGCACAAAATCTAAGCGATACCTGAACTCCTTTCAAGGCTGTCTTGGAGCAAGCCTGTGCAGCACTTGAACTGGGGACTTCGCATATACAAAGCCTGTTCTGTACCACAATGCTGTGGTTTCCTCTGAATCTTTCCTGCCTTACAGTTTTGATACTACAACCAATGGAGGGTTACATATACCCCATGATGCATCTTTTTCTTCTCTGCCCAGTTGGGTGTGGGGTTAGAGGAGTGCTCAGCACTGTGCAGGTTTTTGTAAAACAAAACAAATCCAATCACAGTCAGTGGTTGTGTAAGATGTAGATTCTAATTCTGCCTCTTCCTCATATTTTGTTGCTGATGGGCTTGTTCGCTAGCCAAAATCTGAGCCTGGTCATATTCCCAGTGGCACTAGAAACCACCATATATGTTTCCCACATGAGTGCA